ACCCAAAGCGCTTTACAATGTTCAGAGTCAGATATTGTTCCAATCCTTCCACACACGGTGATGACAGAAGCGAGTCCAGAACACACTGGACCATCAGCTCCAACACCATCCATTCACTCTCTCATTTACATTCAGACCTATTGTGCATGTTTTTAGTGGTAGGGGAAACCGGAGCACCCGGAGGAAACCTACACAGACATGGGGAGAACATGCAAACTCCACTCAGAAAGGCCCTGTTCCAACCGGGATTCAAACCCGGGAGTGCTATCCACTCAGCCACCGTGCCGCCCATTTGTCTCTGACTAGAGGAGGCACATGACAGATCTTTAGTGGTAGGGAAAACCGGAGCACCTGGAGGAAACCTACGCAGACATGGGGAGAACATGCAAACTCCACTCAGAAAGGCCTGGAGGTGGAATCGAACCCAGGGCCCTTTTGCTGAGAAGTGAGAGTGCTATCTACTCAGCCACCGTGCCAATATTTTATATAGTTTGGCTTTAATTATGTATTTTTTTTGCGGTAAAACCAAGTGATAGAAAAGTTGACATTAAGATTGAAAGTAGCTGATACATTACGGTGACGCGAACTCAGGAACTCAGGAACCATTGGCTTCAGTCCCAGTTTCAATGGGAGTGGAATGTCCGACTAAAGCAGGATTGCATCGGTCCATGTACCACACGTTGGCTCAGCAAGAAGGGCCTGGGTTCGAATCCCGGTCGGAACAGGGTCTTTCTGAGTGGAGTTTGTATGATCTCCCCGTGTGTGCGTAGGTTCCCTCCGGGTGCTCCGGTTTCCCCTACCACTGAAAACTTATACAATAGTTCTGGCATGTGCCTCCTGTGCTGGCCCCGCTCCCATCTCTGTGTGGAGGGAGAGACTAATGCCCAAGAATAACAATTGTAAACCGCTTTGTGACTCTGGTCTGTGAAAGGCGCTATATAAATAAAAATTACATACTTACTATTATTATTATTATTATTATTATGTGTTTTTTTGATAGGGACAGAACAAAAAGCATTGTTACAGGAACCAATGCCATGTTCATAGGCTGTATAGCAGCTTGTTAACAGACCTGGTCCATAAGACATAGAAATACATCACATTTATATTATACATTTATCATGATATTAAAAAATAAATAAATAAGAAATACTAAATAACAAAATAACCCACAGATTAAATAGTACAGAACATTTTAAATTGATGATTCAAGTCTTGCAATGTGTTCACAAGTTGAGCCATTGAGCCACACTTACACTATGACCACAATTACTCAAGTGAAAAGCCATTCTTTACAAACACACCTCTGTGTTTGCAGCCAGTAGCTTTCAAATTGTAGAAAAAAGCCAAACAAACCATCTCCCTCTGGTGGCAGCAAAGGGAGTTACAGGCGATACGTATTATTTACCTTTCATACATATTTCACTGTATATTTTCTACTATAGATATTATTTCACGTCCCAAAACACAAAAACGACAAAGTGAATATTCTTGTTTTCATTTAAATGGACAAGAATAACGCATGATACGTCTTCTTTAAATATCTAGCGTTGAGCCGTTTGGTCGTGTGTCGCAGATAGATCTTTGAAGAGAACTCAGTATAATATGGAACCTACAGCATAAACAATATTCCCACGATTCCTCTGCTCTCACTGATCTTTAGATTCGCTTCTTTCAGATAATCTGTGGACGGACTTTCAGGGGACACTGAAGTCGAAGCTGCGGCAGAGGTTCCTGTCTGTGTTCGAGGGCGTGGCCAAAGCAGGAAGTCCCGCCCTCCTGAACGAGATCTACACAGAGCTCCACATTACAGAGGGAGGGGCCACAGACGTCAATCAGGAACATGAGGTATGTCGAGGTTAGAGTTTAGAAAGAATTTTATAGGAGAAGACGCGGAGGTTTGTGAGTATGAGACAGACGACAAGAGACAGTCAGAAAGTCAAAAAAGTGTAGCCTAGAAAACATGAATTAAGAAATATAGAGGGATTATTATTATTAAATATTCCGTCGTTTGGGGAGCTATTGGAAAGGCGTGGCGAGCTACAGGTGATAGACCACGGAGCTAAAGTGAGCACAATAGATGTAAATCAGGATTGGACAAATACATTAAATAAAAATAACAATAATATATTCTGACAGAGTGTGACATCCCCACAGTGTTCAGGGAAGAGGCTGATTTGAACATAAGCTAAATGGAGCTACTTTCCTTATATGGGCTATTCTTCTACAGTAGTAGCAGTAGTAGTAGTATTAATAGGAGCAGTAGCAGTAGTAGTAGTAGCAGCAGCAGTAGCAGTAGCAGTAGTAGTAATTTATTTGAGCTGTTTTGCAGTATTTTTTTTACAAGTCCATATAATTTAAAGAAACAAAGCTCAAAGGAGAAGGTAAAACACAAAGCGTGTCTGTGACTTCATCCTCATCATCATCACTACATTTCAGCGACTTCAAAAAGATTCAGATTTTCTCGTGACATTCCTGATTTTTACCATCATCATCAAACAAAAACAGCAACAGTTATCATTCATGTTCCATATTTACACATACGAACAGCAGGATCATGGAGAGCTCCAGACCAGAGTTATAAATCCCAAAACGAGTGTGACACAGTTACTGAGTTATTAGAGGAGTTTACGTTTACATTGAAGTCGATAAGAGTCAGAGAGAGTTGGAGCTCGCGTTTATTCCAGAAGCAAAACTGCAAAGAAATCCCCGAAACAGCGAGATCACAAAGGAGAAGCGTGCTGTAGCGAGAGACCAGTGCATCATAACTGTAATCCTTGTTTGATCCCACAGGTCAGACAGATGGAAACCTCCTCCAGAAAACAGAGCAGCTCAGAGACCATCATCAGGTGTGAGGACATCTTTAAAGTCCGGGACCCCAGACCACAGAACCTCCTCAGAGCCGAGACCGCGGAGGAACTCCCACCGATCAGAACTGTCCTCACAAAGGGCGTGGCTGGCATCGGCAAAACGGTCCTGACCCAGAAGTTCAGCCTGGACTGGGCCGAGGGCAGAGCGAACCAGGACGTCCAGCTGCTGCTCCCCTTCACCTTCAGAGCCCTGAACGTTCTCAGAGACCAGCGCTTCAGTCTGGAGACGCTGATTCAGCACTTCTTTGGGGAAGACGTGGAGAGAGCATTCTGTATCTCTGAAAACCTGCAGGTGAGTCGTGAACTGTCTGTCAATCAAGACACGGGTCCAGTAGTGACGGGAACTCAATAGTACTGCGACATTTGGGCCATAACCCAATACTATTGAATTATTATCTTTACATACTAGATAGATATACTTTATTGATCCCCGGAGGATCAATTGCCACTCTGTCACTTCCTCCCCTTCTGTGCACAACCTCAACGTTTTACTGGCCACGCCTTCATCACCTCCAGACTCGATTACTGCAACAGCCTCCTCTACGGTCTCCCTTCCACTCATCTCCAAAACCTGCAATACATCCAGAACTCTGCTGCCCGCCTGCTCACCCACACCCGCTCCAGAGACCACATCACCCCTGTCCTCAAACAACTCCACTGGCTCCTGTTCCATACCGCTTACAATACAAGTCCCTCCATAACCTGCCCCTTCATACCCCACTGAGCTCCTCCATCATCACTGTCCCTCCCGCCGCCTCAGACCCACTGACTCCAACCTCCTCACTCCCCTCGGAACAAAGTGCCGAACCTTGGGAGCCTTTGCTGCAGCTGCCCCCACTCTCTGGAACTCACTTCCACCTCACATCAGGAACTCAGACTCACTACAGAACTTCAAATCACTTCTCAAAACTCACCTGTTCAAAACTGTCTACACTTATTTGTTGCTTATTTTTCTTCTGTAAAGAGTCTTTGAGTGTCCAAAAAGCGCTATTTAGGTACAATGTATTATTATTATTATTATTATTAATTTCAGGTGTCCAATAGCAGCAAAAATAAAAAATAAAATTGATCATTCTAAAAAGCTAACAGTAGTAATAATACAGTACATATCCCATTACATACTACACACATTGCAATTTGATTCTGTGATATGTAGTGATTCATGTCCCTCATTTCATTCAAAGGAACATCAAAAATGGAGAAAAATAAGACTGCTCAACTAAAATGTCTGATTTGAACATGTGCTAGCTGGAGCCAATCTCCTCACATGAGCATTTGTTCTAGGTGTGGCTAGGGCAAGCTGGAGATTCCCCTGAAAATGAAGGCATCTGATTGTAACTCCAGATATGAGCCTTATTAGGATCGACCAAACACAATATCACAATATAAACATCAGGATCATGGAGAGAGATAAAACACAGATTTAACCCCATAATGGTGAGATTAATACTAACGAATACTGAGCAAGAGGAGTCGATAAGAGCCAGAGCGAGTTGGAGCAAAACTTTGTCCATGAGCACTTCCCTATTGAGCCTGAGCTTTGACTGAGACAATCATCTTGTAGTGAGGAAGACAAAATTGTTTTCTAGTGAGATAAATACAGCATGTTGTGGTCTAGTTTGTTCGCAAAATGTTACTACTAATATTTTTGGACAAATATTAAAGTATTTTCCCAATTTTTTTTTCCATTTGGATTTTTAAGTTGTGGCTGCAGGAGGGTCTAAGGACTGTGATGGACCAATGGCTCCATGTGTTTGGCCTGTGTCCCCCGTCCTTAACTAAAAAAAAACAAAATCCTTGTGGCTTGGAAGCAGCTCTTGTCTGTAGTGAAGCTGCAGTGACTTGAGTTTAACGTTTCTCTCCCGTGAACAGAACAGTGCAGTGGTTCTGGTCCTGGACGGTCTGGATGAGTGCAGACTGACCCTGGACTTCAGCAGAGCTCCAGACCTCAGTGACGTGAGTGTCTCTGCATCAGTCGACGTGCTGCTGGTGAACCTCATCAGAGGAACACTGCTGCCCTCTGCCCGCCTCTGGATCACCACACGACCTGCAGCGGCCAATCAGATCCCAGCTCACTGCGTCTCCATGGTGACAGAGGTCAGTCGCACCAATGGACCAACATAACATACTTCAGTTATTGTTTATGTACCCAACAATATTGAACAGTAATCCACTCTACAGCCTACAAGAACGTTTACCTATTTTCTTGCATTTCAGAGTTTCAAATATTATTGATAAATATGTATAATCACAGATTTTAGGGTCGGACAGAACTAACCTGCTAGCTAGCGGAAGGGTAGTCCTGGGTTTGGGACTAGATTATTTACAGAATCGGGCCAAATTAAATCCAGTGGTTATATTACAGACCTGCCCCCCCCCCAGCAGATCAGGTCCGACTTTCTCTTCAAAAACTCCACAAGGGGAAGGCGCGAGTGTACCAGCAACTGTGGTTACGTAGGTCCAGCGCAACCGCAACCAGCGCCGCGCCAGTGTGCACAGGCCTTTAGTCTGTTGAGTAGAATGGTTAAGGTTAGGGTTAAGAGTGGGTTGGATGTTAGTCTGTTGAGTAGAATGGTTAAGGTTAGGGTTAAGGGTGGGTTGGATGTTAGTCTGTTGAGTAGAATGGTTAAGGTTAGGGTTAAGGGTGGGTTGGATGTTAGTCTGTTGAGTAGAATGGTTAAGGTTAGGGTTAAGCGTGGGTTGGATGTTAGTCTGTTGAGTAGAATGGTTGTTAGGGTTAAGGGTGGGTTGGATGTTAGTCTGTTGAGTAGAATGGTTAAGGTTAGGGTTAAGGGTGGGTTGGATGTTAGTCTGTTGAGTAGAATGGTTAAGGTTAGGGTTAAGGGTGGGTTGGATGTTAGTCTGTTGAGTAGAATGGTTAAGGTTAGGGTTAAGAGTGGGTTGGATGTTAGTCTGTTGAGTAGAATGGTTAAGGTTAGGGTTAAGGGTGGGTTGGATGTTAGTCTGTTGAGTAGAATGGTTAAGGTTAGGGTTAAGAGTGGGTTGGATGTTAGTCTGTTGAGTAGAATGGTTAAGGTTAGGGTTAAGAGTGGGTTGGATGTTAGTCTGTTGAGTAGAATGGTTAAGGTTAGGGTTAAGAGTGGGTTGGGGTTTGTCTGTTGAGTAGAATGGTTAAGGTTAGGGTTAAGAGTGGGTTGGGGTTAGTCTGTTGAGTAGAATGGTTAAGGTTAGGGTTAAGAGTGGGTTGGAGTTAGTCTGTTGAGTAGAATGGTTAAGGTTAGGGTTAAGAGTGGGTTAGGGTTAGTCTGTTGAGTAGAATGGTTACGGTTAAGGTTAAGAGTGGGTTGGAGTTAGTCTGTTGAGTAGAATGGTTAAGGTTAGGGTTAAGGGTGGGTTGGATGTTAGTCTGTTGAGTAGAATGGTTAAGGTTAAGGTTAAGGGTGGGTTGGGGTTAGTCTGTTGAGTAGAATGGTTAAGGCTAGGGTTAAGGGTGGGTTGGGGTTAGTCTGTTGAGTAGAATGATTAAGGTTAGGGTTAAGGGTGGGTTGGATGTTAGTCTGTCGAGTAGAATGGTTAAGGTTAAGGTTAAGGGTGGGTTGGATGTTAGTCTGTTGAGTAGAATGGTTAAGGTTAGGGTTAAGAGTGGGTTGGGGTTAGTCTGTTGAGTAGAATGGTTAAGGTTAGGGTTAAGAGTGGGTTGGGGTTAGTCTGTTGAGTAGAATGGTTAAGGTTAGGGTTAAGGGTGGGTTGGATGTTAGTCTGTTGAGTAGAATGGTTAAGGTTAGGGTTAAGGGTGGGTTGGGGTTAGTCTGTTGAGTAGAATGGTTAAGGTTAAGAGTGGGTTAGGGTTAGGTAGTTGGTTATATTTACTTCTGCTTCCGTCCCGATTCCGTGTATGATCTAGTGCCGACCGCAGTCCTGGTTGCCTCTTTGGTCACTAGGAGATAATTTAGCTCTGAATTTGCACCTTTCAGAGAAGCCCTGGTCTGCTTTTTGTGCTCTTTGCTTTGAGGTTGAGGTCTGTGGTGGTTGTCGTGAGGTTTGAGATTCAATGCTGAGTGGAATCCACAGGTGCGCGGGTTCACAGACGAGCAGAAGGAGCTGTACTTCACCAAGAGGTTTGGAGACGAGGCCGGTGCCGTGATCAGCCACCTCCGAACCTGCCGCAGCCTCCACATCATGTGCCATATGCCCATGTTCTGCTGGATCACAGCCACAGGTGCGCAGAAGGTCATTTACAAAAGACATCCTCACATGGAACAAAATTAATCTGTTCAAACGGTGTCATAAGATAATAACCATAGCATCAGACTGGACTTCTGACTGTAGCTGTTGAATGGAACAATGGCTAAATAAAAGCAGAAAACGTCCGTCAAAAGAGGGTCCTATTTGTTTACAAGAGGGTCGTAGATATAGATAGATTGATAAATACTTTATTGATCCCCGTAGTAGCAGCAAAAACACATCCAATCAAACAAAGAGAACCAATAAATGTATCATTCTAAAAATCTAACAATAGTAATAACAATAACAGTCCTTCAGGTCACAGCAGCACAGGTGGAGCTTGGTTCAGACCATTGTCTCTGCTCTGGTCTGGACCAGTGTAAAACCATGAATCCTCTCTGCTCTGGTCTGGACCAGTGTAAAACCATGAACACTGTACTGCAGCAACATCTCAGGCAGAAAAAAGCAGGAAAAAAAACAATTGTAAAGCACAAAACAACAACCCAAACAAAACCAATAATCAAGATTTTCATGTGTCTTTTTAAAAAAAATCATTTTTGGGGACGTTTCTGGCCCGAGTTGGTCTGTTATAGGGACATGAAAATCAAGAACTCCATCCATCCATTTTCTTCCGCTTCATCCGTTGCCGGGTCGCGGGGGCAGCAGTCTAAGCAGAGACGCCCAGACTTCCCTATCCACACACACCTCCTCCAGCTCGTCCGGGGGGACTCCAAGGCGTTCCCAGGCCAGCTGAGAGACATAGTCCCTCCAGCGTGTCCTGGGTCTTCCGCGGGGCCTCCTCCCGGTGGGACATGCCCGGAACACCTCCCCAGGGAGGCGTCCAGGAGGCATCCGGAACAGATGCCCGAGCCACTTCAACTGGTTCCTCTCGACGTGGAGTAGCAGCGGTTCTACTCCGAGCTCCTCCCGTGTGACTGAGCTCCTCACCCTATCTCTAAGGGAGCGCCCAGCCACTCTGCGGAGGAAGCTCATTTCGACCGCTTGTTTCCGCGATCTTGTTCTTTCGGTCATTACCCACAGCTCATGACCATAGGTGAGGGAGGGGACGAAGATTGACCGGTAAATCGAGAGCTTTGCCTTTCGGCTCAGCTCCCTCTTCACCACAACGGTCCGATACAGCTCTGACTGCAGACGCTGCTCCCTCTTTACCACAACGGTCCGATACAGCGACCGCATCACTGCGCACGCTGCACCGATCCGCCTGTCAATCTCACGCTCCATCCTTCCCTCACTCGTGAACGAGACCCCGAGATACTTGAACTCCTCCACTTGAGGAAGGACCTCTCCACCCACCCGGAGAGGGCAAGGCACCTTTGTCCGGTCGAGCACCAAGAACTAGTAAAGAACTAGTAAAGGAAATGAAATACTGTACACTATCGTCACATCAGAGTATGTTATGGACTCACTGGCTTCAGAGCCTATCCAGGAAACTACTTATTTTTTGTTATGTGTTTTTATGTATGTCTTTCTGGTATGGACTTTTTACTCTTGTGTCCAAAAAAAAAGTGAATTGAATTGAAAAAAATATATTTGATACATTAGATACAGAGTATATTTAATCTAATCTCTGTGTAAACGATAGTCATGTCCGGTCCTTCTCTCTCTCTCTCCCTGGTCTCTCTCTAGTCTTTCTGTGGTCTTTCTCTCTGGTCTCTCTCTGGTCCCACTCTGCTCTCTCTGGTCCCTCTCTGCTCTCTCTGGTCCCTCTCTGGTCCCTCTCTGGTCTCTCTCTGGTCTCTCTCTGGTCTCTCTCTGGTCTCTCTCTGGTCTCTCTCTCTCTGGTCTCTCTCTCTCTGGTCTCTCTGGTCTCTCTCTGGTCTCTCTCTGGTCTCTCTCTGGTCTCTCTCTGGTCTCTCTCTCTGGTCTCTCTGGTCTCTCTCTGGTCTCTCTCTGGTCTCTCTCTGGTCTCTCTCTGGTCTCTCTCTCTCTGGTCTCTCTCTCTCTGGTCTCTCTCTCTCTGGTCTCTCTCTCTCTGGTCTCTCTCTCTCTGGTCTCTCTCTCTGGTCTCTCTGGTCTCTCTCTCTGGTCTCTCTCTGGTCTCTCTCTGGTCTCTCTCTGGTCTCTCTCTCTCTGGTCTCTCTCTCTCTGGTCTCTCTCTCTCTGGTCTCTCTCTCTCTGGTCTCTCTCTCTCTGGTCTCTCTGGTCTCTCTCTGGTCTCTCTCTGGTCTCTCTCTCTCTGGTCTCTCTCTGGTCTCTCTCTGGTCCCTCTCTGCTCTCTCTGCTCTCTCTCTGCTCTCTCTGTAGTTGAGCAGCCTATTGTAATGTTTACACCATCTCTTTGACGCCACAGTCCTGGAGCACGTCCTGAAGTCCAGTCCTGGGGAGGAGCTGCCGCAGACCCTGACTCAGCTCTACGTCCACTTCCTGGTGGTTCAGATCAAAGTCATGAGTGTGAAGTACGAGTGTGGCAGCGAGTCGGACCTGGTGTGGAGTCAGGAGAGGAAGAGGATGGTGGAGGGACTGGGGAGACTGGCCTTCGAGCAGCTGCAGAAGGGAAACCTCATTTTCTATGAGTCTGATCTGAAAGACAGCGACATCAACCCCACAGTGGCCTCGGTCTACTCTGGTCTGTTCACCCAGGTCTTCAGAGAGGAGCCAGGACTCTACCAGGTGGGCAACAACACTATCTACTCTTCCTCAGGTTCAATTTCATTCAAATTATTTTCACAGCAGAAGTGTTTTCTTTAGCAGAGAGGCAACTGTTTTCATTGGTCACAACATGATTTAATGACGAGGAGTTTGACAGATTCACCGTTAGCGTCCATCACTCATTCATCTTTCATCTGTTCAGACAATAAACCTGTAGCTACTAAAACACAATGGAGTCAGGATAATAAGTCGCTCTCTCTGGTCTTTCTCTGTGGTCTTTCTTTCTGGTCTCTCTCTGGTCTCTCTCTGGTCTCTCTCTGGTCTCTCTCTCTGGTCTCTCTCTCTGGTCTCTCTCTCTGGTCTCTCTCTCTGGTCTCTCTCTCTGGTCTCTCTCTCTGGTCTCACTCTGCTCTTACTATCTCTAGTCTCTCTCTGATCTCTCTCTCTGGTCTCTCTCTCTGGTCTCTCTCTCTCTGGTCTCTCTCTCTGGTCTCTCTCTCTGGTCTCACTCTCTGGTCTCACTCTGCTCTTACTATCTCTAGTCTCTCTCTGGTCTCTCTCTCTGATCTCTGTCTCTGGTCTCTCTCTCTCTCTCTGCTCTCTCTCTGCTCTCTCTCTCTGGTCTCTCTCTCTGGTCTCGCTCTCTGGTCTCGCTCTCTGGTCTCGCTCTCTGGTCTCGCTCTCTGGTCTCGCTCTCTGGTCTCGCTCTCTGGTCTCGCTCTCTGGTCTCGCTCTCTGGTCTCGCTCTCTGGTCTCGCTCTCTGGTCTCGCTCTCTGGTCTCGCTCTCTGGTCTCGCTCTCTGGTCTCGCTCTCTGGTCTCGCTCTCTGGTCTTGCTCTGATCTCTCTCTGATCTCTCTCTCTGGTCTCTCTCTCTGATCTCTCGCTCTGGTCTCGCTCTGGTCTCGCCTCGCTGATTTCTTTCTCTGATCTCTCTCTCTCTGATCAATCTCTCTCTGATCTCTCTCTCTCTGATCTCTCTCTCTCTGATCTCTCTCTCTCTGGTCTCGCTCTCTGATCTCTCTCTCTCTGATCTCTCTCTCTCTGATCTCTCTCTCTCTGATGTCTCTCTCTCTGATCTCTCTCTCTCTGGTCTCTCTCGCTGATAGCCGCTACTAAAATTTGATGGAGTCTAAACACTAAGTTCATAAACTCCGCTCTGGCGCCTCAATAGAAACACATATTAGCTACATTACTACATATTTTTTGCTCGTCTCTCTCTTGATTCACTGTCACTGGTGTGTTTTCAGGACAGAGTGTACTGCTTCGTCCATCTGAGCGTGCAGGAGTTCATGGCAGCTCTGTACGTGCACCAGTCCTTCCTCTGCTTCGGCGCCAACCTTCTCCGTCCCAGATCGAACAGAGGAACCCTCCGCAGACTCACAGAAAAACCCAAACTCAAGCATCTGCACCAAGCCGCCGTCAACCAGGCCTTAGACAGTCCCAACGGACACCTCGACCTGTTCCTGCGCTTCCTGCTCGGCCTGTCGCTGCCGGCCAATCAGAAGCTTCTACACGGGCTGCTTCCTGGTCAGAGGTTTGTATCTTGTTGTTGTCAGATCCGTTATAGAGAGATGGGAGTTGGATTAGATAATTTTGAGATTCATCCAGCAAGTATAGAGTCCTCCAGGGGCACATGGTTGCATTTCTGACCAGTGTTCTCCTTGTTCCGCTTGTTAGTTTAGGCAGACGGCCGTGTCTTGGTAAGTTTGCAGTGGTGTCATACTATTTCCATTTCTGAATATTGGATTAAACATCTCACAGAGCACTGTGGTTTGCTCTGACTTCATGATGCTGTTTAGAGACCAATACATTACGACCATAAACTCTCTCACTGCACAAAATTATAAAATATCAGGTAATAATTGCTTGAATCATGTGTCATTTATCTTAATCCGAGCGCGTTCAGTCTTAAAACAAGATTCTCCAATGGGACAAAGCCATTTAGTGTTATTTCAAGAACTGCTACTTCCAAGAACTTCCAAGGGAGACATTTCTTGTATCTTTTTAAAACGGCCCATCTGCAAATCTTGTTTGAGGGCTCAGTCAGAATGTGATCAAATTAAGATACATTATGCCAAATTTTACCAATTTTTGGGTTATTTTTCAGCATGTGTTGCAGCATGAGGTCCTCACAGAACAGCCGTAAATACAAAGAGCATTGATTACAGACAGATGAGCTCTATTTAACTGTAAGACGTGAGCATTCAGCAGAAAAGTTGGGCTTGCTCATGTATTCATACAGCTTTTATGGACACATGAGCAAGCCCAACCTTTTTATATTTTTATCACAAAATCATGTTATAATTGTTAATAAAATGCAGTTCTCCCAGTAACTCAAAGGACCTCCTGGTTTAAAATAAAAAATCATATTAAAAAAATATATTTTCTTTTCACTTCACGGTTGAATTAAGTTATACCAAGCCGTGAACAGCTCCTATCGGCGCGTGTTCCACCAGCTACTCCTTGCAGGACGGCACCGCAGTAATGTGAGAGAAACACTTCCTGTCCTACGACCCCAGGCCACGCCCCCTTCAGATTATGTGATTGCACAAGGTTAACCTCTACTATACTCAATTTATTCTTGTATCGCCCTAAATCACAACAGTAGTTATTATGTCAGAGGACTTTACAAAACCGTTGAATTCGCCAACACAGATCGGAGAATTAAGTTGAAACACAAGAAATAAAACAGAAAACACATTGGTATCAGGGCAGATGACCAATGTCCATAAACTATAGTGCATAAAAACGAGACATGATTTTGTAACGATGCTTGTTGTTGCAGTTCCACGTCCCACCTGCAGGACACAGCCAACTACATCAATAATAAGATCCAAGCGAGTGAGTGCGCAGAGCGGAGTCTGAACCTGTTCCACTGCCTGAACGAGCTGCACGAGCGCTCACTGCTGCAGCAGGTGCAGCAGGCGCTGAGCAGCGGAGGCCTGAGCCGCGGCAGAGGTCTGTCTGCGGCTCAGTGGGCCGCTCTGGTCTTCATCCTGCTCTCCTCAGAAGAACAAGAGCTGGAGGTGTTTGATCTGAAGAAATACTGCGGCACAGAAGCGGCGCTGCTGAGGCTGCTGCCGGTGGTGCAGGCCTCACGGAGAGCTCTGTGAGTGTTTCTGATCTAAGTATCCTGATAACAGATAGACTTAATGTTTAGGGTTCTGTGGGGTAGTGCTGAGAGCAAAGGTCATAAATGTCTTTGTAGCCGTGAAGATTTGAGAGAACAGAACAAAACCAACTATATGATGCCTCAAACCCAACATTTTGGGAATCAAAATCTGTGGTTTTAACGCTCTACATGACCCTTATGTTTTTATTTTGACCATATATTTGTAAATCCAGTTATGAGCCCTTAACTGACCAATCAAGTGCCCAAAAATGTTGCGAGCGGGAGACGGACACCAGCGCCACACCTGTTTTTCCACTTTGGTAAATAGGTCGTTGCTACCCACAAATTTGATTCCCTCTGTTTACTTTATTCTCCCTGTACGACAATTTCTCCTCTGCATTTGACCCGCCCTTCGTTTCCCACTTGGGCGTCTGTCAGGAGCAGTGGTCGCCATAGAAACAGGGACCATCTCCAGAAAATGTATGCTCTTGTTCAGGACCAGAAGACTTTGCTTTTGTACATGTTTTTACATCGACTTCTTCTGCAATAATGCAAACAGCACTCGTTTAGTCCACTCCACTCCTTCAGCCGACAGTACCGAGGTGAATTGGGTGAACGACTTTTGTTGATTGTGTGATGGATAATAAAGATAAGATAAACTTTATTGATCTCACATTGGAGAATCACTCAGATTGTGCAAAAGGCAGAAGTATGCCGCGCAACATGCTAAGGTTAAAAAATATATATAATTAAGAAAAAGGTCACATCATGATAAGTTTACGCCCAAAAAAAACATTGGAGTATTCATGTACTTTGTTCCTGCTGAAGGTAGTGGGTGTGGCTGGACAGGTAACGAGATAGGGAACAAACTAGGGAATAAAAATAGTAAGAAGTCTGATATTGTCTCTCTCTCCACAGTCTGTGCAGCAGCAGCCTGTCGGAGCACAGCTGCAGGGCTCTCTCCTCGCTCCTCTCCTCTTCTGCTTCCTGCCTCACTCACCTAGACCTCAGTAACAACCCTCTGAAGGACGCTGGACTGCAGAGACTCTGTGAAGGACTCAAGAGCGCCACCTGCAGGCTGGAGCAGCTCAGGTCGGTCACCAGTTACACAGAGCAACAGCTACATACAGCTACAGTGGGCATAGGCGGTTCTCAAACTGTTCACACCGAGTACACCCCGTCTCAAACAGGACTTTTAGGGGTCTATATGAGGACTTTATGTGGAGTGGATAATGAGGACATAAAACACGCAAATCCAGGTTCAAGTCAGCCTGGGGCCTTATCCATCCGTACACTCCGGTCATCATTTCACTGCATGTAACGTCTGGGTCTGGTCCCTGTGTTTGCGATTACAATCAGTTGAATTCCATCCGACCAATCAGAGAGCGCGGGAGGCGGGTGTAGTTAATTGTGGGTGACGTCAAGAGTTTGCGTCAAACGGGAAGGTTGTAGTTTGGCGAAGAATGTGATAGTAAAGTAATCCGGTCTGGTTCTGTCAAGATGTTGAAGTCGGAGCAAGAAGAATGTTTAGAAAATGTAATTGAGGCAAAGATGTTGTAGCGCTACTCCCCACGGGCTCTGTTAGCCGCAAACGAGATGGCTAAAGCTAGGCGAAAGGCTAACGACTCACTCGGGCCGGCGCATTACATACGTGACGGTAAACTGAGATCCAGTCGTTTCAATCTGCAAAAGGAGTTAACCCCTCCCACCTGTAAACGGAGCTCAATAAAGCACGTCCAGACCTTAGTAAGAAATGAAATTTGTTCTGTGGTGTAGTACGACCAGGCTAGGTTCAAGATGCAGCTATCAATTTGTTTAGTACAGGAGTCCTCTCTATAACAAGGTTCATCTTTTGCAGATTTCAACACATCAACTTCTCTCATTTTAAGAATCCTGCACAGAAGCTGTAAATTTTTGTGTGTGATTTAAACATCAGGCTTCAAGACACATGACAAAAGTAGCAACTAACAACCTGATAAATGGTCTAGGAGTAATAATGGACTCAGACTTAAATTTCAATAGCCACATATCATCTGTGACATCATCAGCTTACTTCCACCTAAGAAACATTGCTAAAATTAAAAACATAGTGTCTAAAGCAGACTTGGAGATTCTTATCCACGCATTTGTCTCCAGTCGATTGGACTACTGCAATGGCTTGTTCACAGGTCTCTCTAAACAAGCGGTAAAACAGCTGCAGTACATCCAAAATGCTGCAGCTCGAGTCCTGACTAGAACCAGGAAGTACGACCACATTAGTCCGGTCCTCAGGTCTCTGCACTGGCTTCCTGTGGCTCAGAGAATAGATTTTAAAGTAGCTTTACTTGTGTACAAGTCTGTCCATGGCCTCGCACCAGGGTACATCCGCGACATGTTGGTGCCATATGAACCAACTCGGACTCTGAGGAGCACAGGGACTGGACTTCTGTTAGTGCCAAGAGTCGGAACTAGACATGGGGAGGCTGCGTTTCAGATTCATGCAGCTAGAGTCTGGAACCGTCTTCCCGAGAATGTGAGACAGGCGTCTACTCTAGCAGTTTTTAAAACTGAACTGAAAACAGTTCTTTTTAGCTGTGCATACAAGTGAGGGATTTTATATTTGTTTTTATCTTTAATCTTTTTAATGCGCTATGATTATTTATGATTATTTATGATTGTAATCCCTTGTGTGATTTTAATGTTTTACGGTTTTTAACTACTTGTGTGATTTTATATATCTTGTGCTCTTAATCTGTCTTTTTATGTTTACTTAAATTCTAATGTTTGATGATTTATGCATGATGTTATATGGGTTGTGAGGCGCTTTGCGTTGCCTTGTGTAGGAAAGGCGCTCTACAAATAAACGTTGATTGATTGATTGATTGGTCTCAATCCAAAATCAGTTAATTTGAACAAACCAGCCAATCAGTTTAATGAGTCAAGTTTGACATACTTTATCTAATAATCCAATTTGTTTGATTAAATCATATCTGACTAAAGCTAAAGCTAATTATACTGAAAAAGATAGGGTTGGTAAAAAATTCAAAGTCAAAGGGCACATGCAACTGAACAATAAAGTCTACCTTAACACATTCTTTTACACCAATGGACTTAAACTGATAACCTTAAAAACCAGACTTCCAGACAAGCCTCTCTTCCTTCAGGCTGAGCGGCTGTCTGATCTCGGGAGAAGGCTGCGTGTTTTTGGCCTCCGCTCTAGCGTTCAACCCGTCATCTCTCAAAGAACTGGACCTGAGCTACAACCACCCAGGAGCACAGGGGTCCATGTTCCTGAGGGCCATGCAGACCGACCCTCACTGCAGACTGGACACGCTCAGGTAAACGTTTTATAAACACTGGTTCTGGTTCTCTGACGCATTTTTAAAGTAACAATATGTAGGATGTTCATGTCTCGACATCATTAAAGGGCCCTAATCTGTCAAAATGCATTAATAAAACCTGCTCTTTTCCAATACTTCTTTAACTGATAAAAGTAATTCAGAAATATTTGAATTTCTAAATGAGTTTTACAGCCCCTAAATCTTGTTATTGTTTTCATTTCAATGTCCCGCCCTCCAGCGTTTCACCAATCAGAAAGTCTGTGATCCGGGCGCCAGAACTCACAGCGTGGAGCTAATCTCACTGGTAAAGTACGATGTGGCGCAGAACTAAAAAAGGTCTCGTTATGGTTCTCAAATCATTAACGACAAAACAAGGAATAAAACCAGGATTTCTATCTTTGTGAAAAAGGTGTTGGTTATAGATTTGTTGTTGACAAAACTCTTGTCTATTCAGCTGTTATGGTCCCAGCTGGATTCGTCTGCATATCTGGCAACCTCAGTCAGGGAGAGTGGGAGAGGCTGCAGTACCACTTTTGGCCAGATTTGTACATACTGCTCCTTTAGTAGGTTGCGTTCATGTTGTAGAATCCTATTTTAGGTGGTTCTGATTAATAGCAGGAGGCCAGTCCCTGTACTCCTCAGAGTCCCAGCAGGAGGCCAGTCCCTGTGCTCCTCAGAGTCCCAGCAGGAGGCCAGTCCCTGTGATCCTCAGAGTCCCAGCAGGAGGCCAGTCCCTGTGCTCCCTAGAGTCCCAGCAGGAGGCCAGTCCCTGTACTCCCTAGAGTCCCAGCAGGAGACCAGTCCCTGTCCTCCTCAGAGTCCCAGCAGGAGGCCAGTCCCTGTGCTCCCCAGAGTCCCAGCAGGAGGCCAGTCCCTGTGCTCCCCAGAGTCCCAGCAGGAGGCCAGTCCCTGTGCTCCTCAGAGTCCCAGCAGGAGGCCAGTTCCTGTGGCTCCTTGGAGTCAGAGCATGAGGCCAGTCCCTGTGCTCCCCAGAGTCCCAGCAGGAGGCCAGTCCCTGTGCTCCTCAGAGTCCCAGCAGGAGGCCAGTCCCTGTGCTCCTCAGAGTCTCAGCAGGAGACCAGTCCCTGTGCTCCTCAGAGTCCCAGCAGGAGGCCAGTCCCTGTGCTCCTCAGAGTCCCAGCAGGAGGCCAGTCCCTGTGCTCCTCAGAGTCCCAGCAGGAGGCCAGTCCCTGTGGCTCCTCGGAGTCAGAGCATGAGGCCAGTCCCTGTGCTCCCCAGAGTCCCAGCAGGAGGCCAGTCCCTGTGCTCCTCAGAGTCCCAGCAGGAGGCCAGTCCCTGTGCTCCTCAAGAGTCTCAGCAGGAGGCCAGTCCCTGTGCTCCTTGTGTTGGTTCATATAAGATGAACTTTGAGGTCATGGAGAGACTTGTAACAATCAGAGCTGCTTTAAAGTCTATTCTCTGAGCCACAGGTGCAGAGACCTGAGACCAGGACTAAATCTATACTATTGAGTATTCTTCCATCAGAAACATTACAAACAAAGAGAAACCAGGCGGACCAGCACCAACGATACATGAGTAACGAGATATAACCGTGTGTGGAAATGTTGAACGCACTGTGGTTTATTAGATGTTAGGATCTGAGGTTAAATTAGCATAAATTCAAATTAACATATTTTAAGTGTATTGTGATGCTGGCCCAGGGCTGAGGCTGTAACAAGCTGTGCCCCAGTGTCCCCTGTGACTAAAAACGTTACTTTCTTTCAGATTGGAGCCCGGAGGAGCCTACTTCCTCAAACCAGGACCCAGGAGATGTGAGTGCCATCGTTTGGTTACCATAGTTACCAGGAAGGTTAATAACATTCCAAACTACGCAAATTTCTTCACAAAAGATAAGAAAAAAGGAACAATAGATTTGGGTGGCACCAGTTAGAAAGATGGTAAGACGGTACCAGGTTCTGATCCTGGGCCAGACTGGGCCTTTCTGTTTTGAGTTTGCATTGAGTTTCCTCCTGGTGCTCCAGTTTCTTCCTGTTGCTCTGCTTTACTCTACCACAATAAATATGTACAACAGGTTTGAATTTAATTAGTGAGTGACTGGCTGGTTGGTGAAAGCTGCTATATCATGATTCTTACTTACTGAGGGCTTGCTTATTCCTCATAACTGCTCATTCCCAATTTACACACAAACATTTTAGGGTTTTCTTTTGACTTGACTTGGGGATTCCACAACCTAAACTAAATACGCTGAACAGGGTTATAGCGAGAGCAGGTAACCATAATCGGTTTGTACTTTAGCTCCTTAGACTTTCTAATCTAGTTTAAACTCCCATACGTTTGCCTTGCCTTTTGACACCAACTGAGTTCTCATTGTTTTATATGTATTTGTGTATTGTTGCATTATTATATGTATTATATTATTGTATTAAGCCTTGTACTATTTACATGTTAATAAGGAAGGTCTTGGTCATTATCTTTTGTTCTGTTGGTTCTGTCTTGTGTCTTGTTGACCAAAAGGAAGTTGCAGTCTTTTCTGAGGTCAGATCTGTCCTGAAGGAGCCTGAGCTCATGTGCTCTGCCTCTGACAAGACATTTTCTCCTTGGACTGGGCAGCAAGTAAAAAGAACGCCTGAACTATGTCTGTGTGTGCGAGTTTGAGGCCCAGTTTACACAGAGGAAATGCGGCAGTAAATCGCTAAAGTTGGATGTCGGTCGCTACCCCCCGTTCATACAGAGACTGTTCCAGGTGAAAACGTAAGAGTTAAGATCCAGCCTGCAGAGTGGGACAGCTCAGATACGCTGCTCAGTAGGGGGCGCTCTTTCACACCCGCGTGAGGGAAAAAGGTGTGACTTCTTTGCCCGCTCTGACCCCGGACATGCGCAGTAGCCGAGAACAAACGTAAACAACAATGGCGGCGGGTACGCTAACTAGCTTCGTGTGCTTCGAGCGCTACACTGAGGACCATTCTACTCCTTCGTTTGTCCAAACGAAACCACGCAAAGCTCTAGTTTCAGTTTCCATTTTCGCAGCTGCTGTTAAATGCAGAATGATGTTGGTGCATTCTGTGGCTACTGGATTTGTCCCGGAAACCAGATTTGTCCGGAGTACTGTATACTGCTGGGTGAGGGCTGGGGCTCACGTGTGTCGAGTTGTAAAGTTCCTCTGCCCACTACTGGCCGGGCGTTAGAACTACATCGTTTTTGATCCTCGTATGAACGCTGTAAAATTTGCATAAGGAGCCTGGTTGTTTCTGTTAATAGCTTGGCAATGTCTGCGCAGCGCCTCCGTAGAAACGGCGCTGTACATTAGCATGACTTCGGGCTGCTGGTGTCGCTGTATTATGCTATAAAAACACATACATGGTCATCTAATCTTTAACTTGTTCGTCCTTTTTCACCAGACTTCCATTCCCTCTCTTTGGACCCAGACACTGCTCATCCCCAGCTCCAGCTCTCGCTCCACGACAGCAAAGCTACCCTGGTCCCCTCCGACCTCCCGTACCCAGACCTCCAGAGCCGGTGCGAGCGCTGGTTCCAGGTCTTGTGCTCGCGCCGCCTTCCCGAACGCTGCTACTGGGAAGTGGACTGGAGCGGAGAGGTCTACATCTCCGTCGTCTACGAAAGCGTCGCTCGAGAAGACGAAAGCGGCGACAGCTTGTTTGGGATCAACAGCCAGTCGTGGAGTCTGTCGTGTTCCGAAGGCGGTTTCTCCGTTTGGTTCGAGGAAAGTCCGACGCACCTCCTGAACGTGGGGCCCTCGCGCTCGGGCAGAGTGGGAGTGTTTGTGGACGCTCCGGCCGGATGCTTGTCCTTCTACAAAGTCTGTTCAGATCAGCTGACGCACCTCTACACCTGCAACGCCATCTTCACCGAGCCGCTGGTTTTGGGGTTCTCCTTACGCTCGCTGGACTCTTCAGTGACTCTGTGTGAGCTGCCAGACTAAATTATTAGTGTCCCGCTGAAAGATCAAGGCTGTTTCACAACTGATGGAGCAGCCATCTTCCTGTGGACTCACCCCCTGCTGAAGATCAGCGAGGGACTGGTGCTATGAGCATTGGGTGGCAGCTCTCATTGCCACCCCCCCAACCCAGAAATGGACAAATAAAGGGGTTGAAAATGAAATGAAATGAAATTGTTTTGTTCAGCACTTTGAATTGTGCTATATAAATAAACTTGCCTTGCCTTGCCTAAACTCAACGTTTCACAAGTTCTGAAGTTTGAAACACTGTGAGAACTGGTCTTCACAAAATGGACATGGGAGAAATGCAAGACAGAATATTCAGGGGACCAGGCCAGTGGGGGCGGGTCTCGGATCAAAAGTGGCCAAAATGACGTGCGCTGACATGCTGCAATACCACCCCAGGCCTGTGGGGGTGGACCCAGAATAAGAATTAGCCAATGCTAACATATAGCATTAGCTGACCTCTTGAAAACGTCTTTACAGGATGGTCCAAAAGTTGGTAGCGCATTAGCCTTTGTGCCTGAAGGTTGTGGGTTCGATCCCCCCCGAGAGACCTACTCCAACTGCTCCCAATCATGTCAGCTGTTGTGTCCTTGGGCAAGACACTTAACCCCACATTGCTCGAAGCCCCCGCTGAAAGGCCAAGGCTGTGCCACCGTGTTCCCGTGGACCCACCACCTGCCGGAGGATCAGAGGGACTGATGCTATGAGCTTTGGGAGGCAGCTCTCATTACCACCCCTGACCCAGAAATGGACTAATAAAGGGGCTGAAAATGAATGTCTGAAGAAACTATGAAAAACTAATTTTTTTGACAACACAAGGTAATTTTCAGGAACTTTCTAGAGACATCAAGCCACCAGCGATCCAAGAAATCGATAATAAAACACTGGACTTACAGAGTAACTGAGATAGAGACTCGGACATGAGAATCCTAGTGTGGTCATAACTGCTCATCAGGCAACTTTTTTTCTGTTCTAGGGCTATGCAAGTTTATTTATATAGGACACGTCATACACATGGCAACTCAAAGCGCAGAACAAAACAAGATCAAGAAGGAGCAATCAAACACGTACAATCACATTAAACACAGTGCATTAAAAAGACTGAAGATACATTATGATATCTTACACACATACAATCTTATAATCTAGATTATGGATGTTGCGGTGAGTTACCTGCCCCCACCCTCTCCACAAACCCCAGACCGATCCAATCTGCAATCACTCTTGTGTGCTCAGAATCGTTTGCACACCGGAGCAAACAAGACAAAGAAAGACTCCGAGACATCAGGAAATCCTCAATCAGACTTTGCAGAATCAGTGTAATTACCATCGACCAAATTTATCCCGGTGTTCTTCAGTCGGTGTGCGGCGGTGCATTGATGTGTCCTAATGGGTCAAACTAATAATAAATAATGTAGAAGATTAGATTAGGGTTTCTATAAAAAAACACTGTGATGAGAATGATGTTACATATATCACTGCGCTGCCGAACGGAACCTTTCAAGAGATTCTTTGTTCCTTCGGCTGTCAGACTGTACAACAAACCTGGATGAGTCGTCTGCTGCTGGACACCTGAATTTCTCCAACAGGGATCAATAAAGTATCTATCTATCTAAAGCAAAGTGTCATGTTTGTATCAGTTTCAGCTGTTTTCAAAGACAAACTGCTCAAAAAGGGAACACTGTTTTTGTTATGCTAATGAGGCGTTCAAGAGCACTCGTGAGGATCGCTCCAACTCGCTCTGGCTCCTATTGACTTATATGTGAAAGTAAACTCCTCTCGCTCAGTAACCGTCTGTGTCACACTCACCATTTTTGACCTAAAAATCTGTAGTTTATCTCTCTCTGTGATCCTGGTGTTTGGGTTTTGATATTGTCATATAAACCATGTAAGGTTTGACCAATCAGAAACTCCAGCTTGCCTTAGCAACCATCTTAGTAACAATAAGGAAATTGCCTCTAGCTAGCTTGGGTCCCCATCAGCAACTTCCACATTAAAGCTGCATTAACTCACTTTATTTTTGTATTCATTACAAAAATTAAATCCATATCCATGCAGTGCATCAGGACATACGTCCTTTTGAAGAAAAAGTAGCGCAGATTTGTGCAGGCGTGTCATTTTATTTTAGATCGAGTTTTTGTGCTAAAAGGATGAGAATGTGTTTCGGGACCAGATTGTGACCAATCACAGCGGAGCACTGGCCCCCACTTTCTTGAGAAAAGCGGAGGGGAGGAGCGGATCCCTTTCTCAAATGGGTCTCCCTCCCTGTGGGTTTCCCTAGTTCTCCCCAAGGTTTCTCACTTTTTCCCACTGGGTTTTTTAAGAGTTTTTCCTTGTCGATGCAGGAGGGTCTTGTTGGACAGTTAGTGTCCAACAGAAAGGATTGGTGATGATCAGGACACTTTAGCATTCTACAACATGTATGGACATTTTCTTCTGTGTGTGCTTTATATTCTTCATGTGTTTTAACTGTTGATTCTCTGACCTGTGTTGGTGATTTCAATGGTTTTGTTAAGTCTCTGAGATTACTTCTGTTGTGACCTAGGGCTATACAAGAATAAATTGTATTGTATTGTATTGTAAAAGCTACAGGTCTCTGGTTAGCACTGACAGCTGAGGTAAACAAGCGGCGGAGGCTAACCTGAAACTTCCTGCTCCCTTCTACACCAAACAGACCTTAGATTGTTGATGAGTTAGTTTCAGGATTAGGGTGTGGGGGTCACGCCACGTTCAAATGTACGAAAGAGCGAGGCCGGCGCTCACATTCGATAATGTCACAAAGTGAGTTAGTGCAGCTTTAAGGCTAACACTATGGTGATGTCACACTCTGTCAGTCCACTCCTTAGAAACATCTGAGACAAACACATTATTACACACAGACAATTATTTCACTCAGAAAGAAAAGAAAGTTCACTGCTAATGTGGCTAAAGCAGTGTGCTAATCTCGTCATACTGAGCTCTGGACTCTGAAGGTTAAGGACAAAACTATAGGTGAATGATGTGTGGGAAATAAGTTCTGTTCATTTCAGATTATTTCAAGTAAAACACCAGGGTTTCGTCAACAGCAAAATGACATTGCATTTGAATAACTTAAACACTAATGCATTAAGTCCATTCAAATACATTTATGAAAATTATTTTTGGAGCAAATAATGAAGGTTCAACAAGCGTGGATTAGCAAAAATGCAGGAGGAGCGAGTGCATACAGGGATCATAAAATACAGGGTAAACGTAACCTAGCTTAGCCTACAGCCTTCACTCAGGTGCTCTTCACGGATCTGAGGGAAAATAAAGTAGAAAACAAAGGAAACGGTCTGAGGCACTTTATTCCGAGGGACATGGTTTGTCTGTTTGTTTGTAAGACGACTCTGTATGCGACGCATGCTATGAGCTGTTCACTCCATTTTTTAAAGAGCTTTCATAAACAATTCAACATAAAAATACATAATTGCATCTTCGCACTAGACTCTGTGTTTCTGTTTTCAAACCAACGTAAAGTCGCAGCAGAGGAGAGAAGTGACAGAGCATAAATTATAGAAGCCTGTTTTTATAGCAACAACAGTTCACCTGCAGCTGCAAGACGCTCAGAGGCGTTTACTGTTCAGGGTTTGAAGAAAGAGATTATTCTTCAGTCTGACAGTTTTCCCACTGAACCAAAGACCACAGGCTCAAACTCAGACTGGATTATGTCAAAGTCCGGAGCCACTCACACAAGACTGTAAATAAAGTATTTTCTTTCCACTTGAAAATAACACGCAGGTTTTTTTTTTACCTCTATTGCACAAAAATAGTAGAGATGCACCGATCCAGCTTTTTTACTATCGATACCGATACCAGAGCTATGGGTTTCTGCCGATACCGATATTGACCGATACCGGAAATGATCATGCTAAAATGTATTTAATAATTGAACTCTTTGTTCAAGTAACTGCAAAAGCAGTGGATGAACTAAAGCGCTAAACTTTCCAGATAAAAATGGATTCAACATAAATGTGCAATAATGCAACTATAAAGAGCTGCTCAATGTTCACATTAAACATTCAACACTGTATTATACCTTATACATTTATTGAATATAAATGTACTTATATTAACTGTGTTTGAATAAAAAAACACAACAAACAAAACACGCTGCATGAAAATGTAAATAAATAATAGTACCGTAGCTTTAACTGGATTTCAGATATGTATTTGGCGACGGCATGGACCTGGGTTCCAAATGGTCTATGGGGCTGCGAGCCCATGATGAACTCCAACACTTTGGGGTTGTTGCTGAAAAGCTTTTTGTGACGCTGCGTCAGTGTGATCTGTGTCTCGTTGTTTTCACGTAATCTCCTTTCGATGCAAAAACTCCCCATGCTGTTTCTCGTGGTGCTTAGTCGTGTTGTATTTAGCTAGTTTACCGCCGCGAGAACAACGCTGTGTTGTTGTAGAGCGCCACGAGGAAGTGACGTGTCAGATCTGATACATTACTTTTAATTAATTCAAATACGTATTTGTACATTATGCACAATGTATTTTAAGACATTGTGCGGTACCTGGTATGTATTAAAAAATATATATAATTAAAAAAAAAAAAAAAAAAGAAAATGGATTGGCAGCACGGCGCCTCTCTCTAGCAAATATCCGATCCAGTATTTTTTCTGGTATCGGTGCCGATATCGATACCAGTATCGGATCGGTGCATCCCTAGTTAATAGCTTCTATGTTTTATCCTGTAACTGTTTTTGTCCTCCCTTTTCTCAAATATATCTAGTACATTTCTCCAGTTTGAAATCAATAACCTTTTATCTTATCTAACCTCAGCACAATCAACAGCTGATGGAACAAAGCAAGCAGATACACACACTTACACAAAACCGGGGTGGTATAGTAAGTAAGTAGTAGTAGTAGTAGTAAGTAATCTTTATTTATATACCGCCTTTTCACTGCACATCGGAGTCTCAAAGCGGTTTACAATTGTTATTTTTGGGAGTGGG